TCTATTTATCAAATTTTAAAACAGAATCAAGAAAAAAAACACAGACAAGAGATGGAATCGACATGGGAAATATCAGGAACAAATGGGAGGATTCGCCGTGGCTCAGGCTATCCTGAGTTATCGCTATAGTTATGCTGCTATAGGCTTAGACTGCTGGAGGACATAGGGACCACTTTTCATTATTACCTCTGCCAAGAATTTGTTTTTAGGAGAGTGAGTCTTTGTACAGGAAAACTTGAAAGGTTGTTTTAAAGATTTTTTTTTAACAGAGATGCAACTCATGCAAAGGAACAATCCATTTAATTTTGGTGATGATTCAGATCATAATCTAGATACAGGAGTATAAAAAAAAAAAAAAAAGATTCTATAACTTTGAGAGATGGGGATATTTGGCAGAACAAGCAGTTTCCCACTAAACCAGATGGTGGCAGCAGTGACTATTCACAGGTATTTTACTGAAGACAAGACATAAGAAAGGGGGTCATTGTTGGTTTGGTAGCAGGATCATTTGAAAATCAGATTTTATGGACATTTTTTACCAGAGGTGTGCCTCATGCTAAGAAAAAAAATCATTCAAATTTGGTAATGATCCAGATAATGAGTGAGTTTTAGCTTTAAGTGTCACATTTGGAGCAAAATTTGCTACTTGGCAGAGGACTGTGCTCTCCGGGTGCTTTTCTAGTTCTGCTTCATCCTTTTTCTATCTGTGAATTCTGTGTAATTTGTTAGTTCAATCTCTAACGTTCTGCTCTCTCTGCATTTTCTCATAGCAGCTACATCTGGTCTGTTCCCATTTGGCTGTGACTCCATCCTGGAGAGAAATATCTTAGATTATAGGTGATAGAGCTGGGCCTGTTTCTCAGTGTTTAGTCCTGTTTCTCTCCTAGACATAGCTATGGGCTCAGCCTTTCCTGTGACTATCTGGATGTACTCTCTTTCATCCCTTTAACCTGAAAACTGGCACATAACTCATCTGCTAACTGCTTCTTTCCCAGTCAGATCCCCTATGGAGCTAATTTACAGTTACTTTTTCTTACATAGAAATTATTTATTGATCAGTGCTATCTATGTTCATTTTGTATGCCTGTTTCCGTCTCCTTCAACCCCATTTGGCCTCAGAAGCAGGCCGCTCACACTGAGCCTGGCCCTGCTGGAGGTTTAAAAATTAGTTTTTCCTCTCAACTGTCGCTGCACATATGCTTGTTCTAAGGGAATGTCTGCTTTCTCAACATACTCATCCAGGAGGAACAAATGCTGCAAAGCCAATGACTGGATGCAGTTTCCTTAAAAGTTGAACCTTTAATCTGACTGGATTATCTGATTGAGAGTTATCTCTGTAAAGAAGCTTGAGATGAAATGTTTAGTTTACTTTGAGACAGTTTTTGTTTCGCTTGCTTTTACTCTACAGCGTTGGATGCATCACAAGGATCCTACAAAACTCAGCGTGTATTACCTGTACGTTTAAAGTCGGCGCACAGTTTGAGTCGCTTCCTGATGCTGCTCTCTGAGTGTGAGGGGAAAGCTTTCTTTATGTCCTCCATGCGGATTCTCCGTGGCCTGTCTTTGCTCTTCCAGAACAGGCGGTAAATGAACACCTGCAGAGGACAGAAATGAGACAGTCGACCTTTAGCCATATCCAGAGGCGAGATTTATTCTCATCAAAAGCCCAGATGCACCCACCTGTAGGAAATCTCTTATGTGGGTGTTGGCACGTTTGGAATTTGGACCTGGAACTTCAAATAAGGGGCACTCCTGTCCAACAACAAAAATGTCAACAAGCTCCCTGATGTAGTAGCCATGTCGAGTTCGTATGACTAAGAAATCAGTCTCAGGCATCTTGTGCAGGTAGATTGGGGCACGGAAGAGGTTGTTTTCAAAAGCCTGAAATCATAAAAAGAGAAAATCAGGGAATCAGCTTATTAGGAGCCATCAGAAACATTTTAGACAATTCTTCATAGAATTAAACACAGTTATACCGACCTGAAGAAGCTGACCAGGATGCAGAGATCCCAGGAAAGGGGAGGTATGGCAGTATACCGTCTCCCCATATTTACAGTCCGGGGCCCCAGGATCTTTCCCAGGTTTCTGAATGACAGAAACACATTTATTCAAACTTTTAAGATTTCTGCATGTTTTATCAACACATATCGACTTTAGGGTCCTAGCTGAATTAGTATATTTTTTATGTAGCAAATCAATAGATCTACTCACCCTTTTGTAGTAGTTTTTGATTTTGGTTGCCATGCCAACCTGCATGATGAGAGGTGGGTACTCCTCGCTGTACTCAGCCAGGATCAGATCTCCGTCTTTGCCTGTCAAGTCCTGCGGGGTTCGCATGAAGAACATGTCTCCACCGCCGGATGCCTGCCGCTCTTGCTCTCGCATCTGATCCAGAGACACAGCGAATGCACCAATGGAAAGAAGAGCAGAAAACAAACAACCAAAACAGAATTATTTAGTAGATTTTATTCACAATGTTTGACTTTTACTGAAGTAAAGAATGTAAGTACTTTTTACAACTCTGGAGCAAAGAGAGCAGGGAGAGGACCTGCTCCACTACAGAGTTTTTTTCTCTGAAATTGTTGCACTAAAATAATTACCAGTCTTTATACAAGTGAAAGAAATTGATCAAGAATCATTTAAATTTTTATTTTAATACCTTTGCTTTCTTCTTTATGTGTTTGAGCAGAGGCTGGACCGCATGAGGACCCGGTTGTGCTATGGCTCCAAAAGAGTATTTCTTCAGGGCTGGTCGGTGGAACTGCCGAAGCTTCATTGGACCCATGTGAGTGGGGAAGAAGGGCTGTCTCAGCTCAAGGGCTGGGATGGAGTGCTGCGAAGGAGAGGAAACAGGCGCAAATATTACTACAAGCTAAAGATGTTTAAACTCAGAGCCTGGTTGATCAGCTGTTAGCTACCTGAATGATGTTGCCACCAAAGGTTCCTCTGAGGCCCTGCTGCTTCGGGTAGTAGAACTCGTCGTTGGACAGGTTCCAAGGATCTTTAACTTCAGGTTGAGACATGTTCTGTGATTATGAATGAATGAATGAGAATTCATTTCAGACAGTTTTGACAAATAACAATAAATGAATCAACCAAATACACACTAAAGAGGCTGGTTAACATTAGACCAAACACCAATTTCCAAACTAACTAAATTCACCTGAACATGAATAGAAACAGAACCCTCCACCAAAAAATGGATAAATATTTACTAAATGATCAAACACTACAGATTTCTATATCGTTTGAAATCACGCCCATTAGAACAGATACAAACATGAGAGGAAGTTTAACCATAAACGCCTAATTACAAAGAACTATTTTGGAAAACACTTTACAATAAGCATCATTTATCAATGGAAAATATACCATTTATTAATAATTAACAGAACATTTGTTAAGGTTTGATAAACATTAATAAATTGCATCTAAACCCTCTATAAAAGGTTTGGCCTTAAGCCTAAGATCAGTGGGCTTTACTATTTTTAAATAATGATTATTCTGTTTTTTTTTGTAAAGTGTTACCTTATGTTAGCCTGAGAAACCAAACTAAATGGTAGATTAAATGTGTAATTTAGTCTTGTCCCGATGAATGAGACATCGGAAGATAGTTGATGAGAACAACCAGTTGTTTTTCAAACCATGTCTGTGCCTATTGACCAATGAGTGCAAATGACTGTGACGTAGTTTGCATGACAGAAAGCTGGTGGGCGAGTGTAAACAAACAGCCTGTCAGTAAAACGGCGAATACGTCCTTCTTATAAATGATCAAGCATAGATCCTCTTTCTGCTCACGTTTTAACTAAACCCCAAGTCTAATCCTTCAAAAACTGATTCCTAAGCTGAGTCAAAAATCTCCATCAGAGTCAGTGGTCCTTCACAGACGACTATGCCGAGAGAGGGCCGCTACAGGCGGGCTGCGGTTAGCCTCGGGGGTCCGCTGGTTGCCGCAGTCCTCTCAACTTCGGAAATATTTTTTTTAAATTACGCATTAAATCGGTAAAAGGACCATATAGTGAGGCTTTAAAGTATAATATTCTCACCTCAAATGATTTAAAAAACGTACTTTTATTGAACAACAGCAACAGAAAAGAGAACTTTTAACTTTCAATGGAGCGCTCCGTTGAAAGCTGCTGCTGCCGCAGTGCATGCTACTCTTAAATTGTTGTTGCCATCTTCCTTGTTGTCAGTTCTAGGGCCTGGGGCACTGATCGAGGCTAGACCAAACTCGCAGGCAAAAATGATTTTGCTGGCAGGTGGGGCTAGTTTACTAGGCTAAACTTATGTTGCTTTCAGTCCAAAACTACAAGCACATTTCAGCAGTAAAAATCTAAAGGTGTGTCCAGAAATTCAACAACACGTTATGGAGCAAATGTGGCTAGTAATGTTAGCAAAGCATCTTTAGGCTCATAGCTGCTCCCTTAAAAAGTTAAACATTGATTAACTGAGGTCATCTTTAAATAATGGATGTGTTCTAACAGCAGCAACAATGTGCTGTAAAATGATTAATGTTACGTTTGGAACCTTGTATGAGCTAAGCTAATGAAAAGTTTAATACATATATAAACATTTTAAGCCACAATCTGAACCATGTTGGCAAAAAACCGATAGGAAGAAACGCTGAGCTAATGAGGACGTTTAATAGCTATAGAAACTTTGCTGCTTTGGAATTTAAATACTGTTTGATCTTGGAGGTTAAAACCAGCGAAGAATTTGACCATATGTCTGCTTTGAATGATTAATGTACCTGTTGTGGCTCGTCTTTTATCACGCCAGTCTTCCCCAGCAGAATGCGACTCTTCTTGATCGCCGTCTCCTTCTTATTCTCCTTGGACGGGGAGTGAGATGTCGTCTCTTCCTTTTCATCTGGAATTTCTAAAAGACACAAGAACTCAGTATGTACTTAACAAAACCTCTGAAGAAAAAAAAAATGCTTTAGAGGAGCTGATCTGAGAAGGAAGAGTTTCCAATGAACCTAGAATGATATTCTCATCGTTGGGATCCAGAGTGAGAACAGGCGGCATGAGGAGGTGGTCCATCTCCTGGTCATCCCAGATGATGTTATCCTCCCAGCGACCGTACACCAACTCTTCGTTGTCGATGGGAAAAATGGAGAACCACGAACAGTCTTCTTCCATAGAGGCTATAAGAAAAAAACCCAGAAAGAATCAAGACTGAGCCAAAAAATTTTAAAAATGAAGACGATACCTTCAGTCATTAAATACCCTCTGATTCATGTAGCACTGGTCTGTAAAAATGTAGAAAAGCTGAAAAGGGACATTCAAAACTCTTGAATTAAGACCAAGTTAAAGATTTGGTCAAACAAACCAAAATGTCAAATGATTTCATAGAAACAGACCAAAATGTCAAATGACGTGATTAAAAAAAAGTCATATTGACATTTTGGTCTGTTGTCTTTTGGTCAAACAAACCAAAATGTTAAATGGTTTAATAAAACAGACCAACATGTCAAATGATATAATATTCAAATATTACATAATTTGCCATTTTGGCCTGTTTTTATTACATCATTTGACATGTTGGTCCGTTTTTATGACATCATTTTTCACTTTGGTCTGTTTTTATGACATCATTGAACATTTTCGTCGGTGTAAATACATCAATTTTCATTTGGTCTGTTTTATGACATCATTTGACATTTTGGTCTGCTCTATTACATCATTTGACATTTTGGTCTGCTCTATTACATCGTTTGACATTTTGGATTGTTTTTATTACATCATTTTTCATTTTGGTCTGTTTTTATGACATAAATTGAAATTTTGTTCTGTTTTACAACAAATCTACAGATCTGCTGTTCTTGTGAATTGTAGCAGTATTAGAGCTGAGGCTGATGACGTTTCAAGAGTATATGAGCACATGAGAAAGCACAAGTACACATATTGCCCAAAGCTCTCACCTTGATTATCATGGCTGCCTTTTTCCCGCTTGGAGCCAGAGATTGATGGAGCTTTGGGAATGGGCAAAGGTGTTGGTGGGACAAGCTGAGAGTTGCTGCGGGTCAGACCTGCAGGGTTATAGTTTTTAACGTTACTGAGGAAAAGCTTCTTTTCTTATAAGCTTTATTTGGGGAGGTTCATCTCACCCTGCTGTGCATTATAAGCGTTAGCATTCCGGGTCATGCTGGACGGGAGCCATCCTGCCAAGCTGGCTCTCTGAGTCTTGGTGCCCTTGTGCTTCACATCTTCTCCGTTCCAAATAATATCGTCCTCCCATTGGAGCTGGGTGACCATGAGGAAGAGCTCATTCTCCAGAGCCCGCCTCACTCTATCTCCATCATCATCCTCATCATCATCGTCGCCTTCAGCATCCACGTTATCCTCCTTCTGAGCCTAAACAAACCAGACAGAAAAATCATCACTGGTGGAGTAATTCCTCTCCTACTTTAAAAGCAGCTGAGGAAACTCACCTCCCGAGGAGGTTCTGTTGTTTCTATAGGCAGATCCTGCTCGTCTGTCTCACTCAGATTATCTTCTTTGAGTTTAAACCCGTAGTTGAAGTTGCTTCCGTCCTCGGGTACGCCCAGCATGTCGTACCACAGCTGGGCCGGACCGTATCTCCATTCTGCTACTTTCGGTCGAGATTCGGTCTCTTTGTCTGCATCGCCAGACGTCTGGGAGAACTTCGACTCCACCGGAGCCATCATTGTTATCTGCATGTAAATCAGGAGTTTGTTTTGGGGTGAGTGTGCAGCTATCTGTGGGTTGTAAGACCTTAAAACTTGAGGCTTAATGTGGCAAACTGAAGACGACTGATGTCCTTTGAATTTAAAAAATAATATCAATAAGCCTGAAGACCTAAAAAAGTTTTTTCCATATTTGTTTTCTTTCACACTTTTTAAACGATTCATAGTTCTCAGAGGTTTACCTCATCATCAGAGAGACACTGCTCTGGAGGTGGAGGGAGCGCGTACTCATAGATCCACCCAGACCTTTTCTCCAGACTTTGTTCTAAGGTGTCTTCCTCTGGTGGAGGCGTCCCAGGCTGAGGGTCCCTGTGTTTACGCTTCTTTTTCCTGCGGGCGCTCCTCCAAACCGAAGGCATGTTCTTTCCAGGACCAAACAGTCGTAAAAACCTCAGGACCTGTTAAAAAAAAAAAAGGGAGAAATACGAAACAAATTGTTCTATTGCCGATCCAGATTATTGGTTCAAAAGGTCTCTTGAAACTAAATGGTTTACCTTGCCAGGCTTAAACTCTGGAAAGAGTTGCGTGACACTCGGCAATGCCTTGGCAGCATCCTTCTGCATGATGCCAGCAAGAGGAAGGTTGAGTCTGTCTGGGGGTCCCAAAACGCCAGAGCCCTGGCAGGGTCGGTCGGTTTCTGACTCGGAGTCCGAAGAGCTGCTGAAATCTACTTTATCGGCAGTGGAGGAGGGCGCGATAATGGAGGGCAGGATGATGCCATCGCCGTCTTCACCGACTGCACCAGAAACAAATCAAAGCAGCCGTAAAGATTTGCAGAATTCAGTCGTCTAGTGTTCAGAAATGAAGATCTGAGAAAAAAAATTGCTCAGTAGCTGCAAGAAAAACACTCCTTATGTTGGTAATCACTGTTCAGCTGCAGCAGAAGAGAGATGATGGGCTGTTGGAATATGGTGAAGGAATCAGAGGTGGTGGCTCTAAATCTGCAGCCTTAAGTCGAACAGTGAGGCGGGTTCTAGGGCGTCCATTTTTAGTGCCTTTTGACCAAAATTAACCTGCAGCGCTTATCTAACAGTGTGAACAGTAGCGTTCTTTTTTATTTTGTAACTGCTTTAAGGCTGCAACTAATGATTATTTTGCAAAAAATTTAATCATTCAAAATTTTTTTGACTAATCAATTAATAATCGGATAGCCAAAGGTTTCTTAAGGAAGATGTTTTACAAAATTAAACCAGGTGAAACGAAACCTTTTCCACTTGAGGAGTTCTGAATACGGAGTTCAGTTAAAGACCGCAGTAACAGAGAGGTCTACAAGACATTCCCAACAGACCCCCACATTAGCTTGGGCCTAGCAGGTATAATCGGCCTCCTCCCCTGCAAGCGGATCCCAGGGATTAAAGCAAAAAAAATAATCCTGAACCTGAACTTTTTCAACATAGCAAGAAACTCATATTTATATTCATATATATATCTGCGTGTGCGTTCTCAAGCCATGCCAGGGGGATGTGGGGGCATGGGATCAGAGATCGCATGAATGATTGAAGACTAAAATTGATTTTTAATATCCAATACCAAAACCGGCCAAAAGTGCATCTATATCTGTGAATGAAGGCTGATATACTTTGAAACTAGGTCATCTGCGTGTGTGTCACAGTGAACGCAGGGACGTCTCCGCCCCCTTCCGCAGACACTCTGCTGCACCTCTCCCAAATTGTGGGTGAACGCAGACAGTGCCAAAGACAGGAGGCCTCTGATTGGCCAAATCTACATCCGCTCTACTCATACGTATTTCCTGTTTGGTACCTTACCGGCTTGTTCTGTTTGTATGACCGCCATTGTGGAAAACGACTCATGAAGTTTGACCAGCTAGAAGAGCGAGGTGCGCAAGAACGTTGGGACCCTTTTTCCACCTTGATCCCTCTTGCAATGTGACAGGAAATTACATAGCGCAGACCATGCTTCAAAATGCGTCAAAAGTGTCTGTGTCATACCTGCAAAAAGCTCACTGCAACACACTGCTCAAGGAGTATAACCAAGCTGTGAGAGGTTGTGTTTCGGTGAGGAAAGCACAAACCCTTATTTTTAACTCGCACACTTATTATTATTATTATTGTTATTGTTGTTATTAATGCTGGTGAATCAGCTGTTGCCGTAGCTCCCAGCAAACGTGTAGTCTGTGGGACCGCGTGAACAGCCCCCTTCTTCTACTGTTTGGCTAACGCTGTTAGTTTCAGAGCGCTCCTTAGCTACCATTGGCTGACAAACGCAAGAGGGATTTCGATTGTCTTTTTAAATTTTGTCTAAAGTCAATTTATTTTCTAGTATTTTTTTTTACCTACAGGCAAGCGCTATGAGCAGGAAATCCAGCCTGGGGCCGGAATACTTTAATCCCTGAGATCCAGCTCACCACCAAGGGGTTGATCGGTTGACAGCTCAGCCAATTGTCCGTGACACGTGACCAGAGATCAGATGACACAACTACAAAGTCGATCATCGGCCTCCGGGCTATGGTGTCTTGATGCCACTTGTTCTTATTGACATCCTGGTGCTCACATATGGCGTTCGTTATGTACAAACTGTGATTAGCACAGAAGTCCAATAACAGAACACCACTCAGGTTCAGATTGGGAGGTCATTCCAACCGATCACCCCTGACCAGGTCCTACTGTTGCTGCCCATGTGGACGTTGAAGTCCCCCCCACTAGAACAATGGAGTCCCTAGTTGGAGCACCATCTAGTACCCTTCCCAAGCACTCCAAGAGGGCCAGGTACTCTGCAGCGATGCTGGGCCCATAGGCTGAGACGACGGTGAGAGACCTGTCCCCAACCCAAAGGTGTAGGGACGCCACCCTCTCGTTCACCGGGGTAAACTCCAACACGTGACGACTGAGATGGGGGGCAGTGAGCATGACCACCCCAGCCCGCCACCTCTCCCTGCAGGCAACGCCAGAGAAGTGGAGAGTCCTGCCTCTCTCCAGGAGATTGGATCCGGAACCCAAGCTGTCTGTAGAGGTGAGCCCGACTATATCCAGCCGGTACCGCTCAACCATCTGCACAAGCTTCACCCCCCCAATCGAGGTGACGTTCCACGTACCTACAGCCAGAATCTGCGTGTGCGGACCAGGCCGTCGTGGACACCCTGCCTCGACCGCCACCCAGTCCTCTCTGCACCCGAGATTTACAATTTCATTATAACTGCTTCTTAAGATATGATGCTCTGTCAGCTAAAGGCACGTTTTAGAGTCTCAATACTCCAATCAATGATTAATTGATTACTAAATAAGTTGACTATTATTTTAATATCGATTAATCATGATTAATGCAGTTAATTGTTTCAGGCCTAATTTCCATATCCTACAATATGTCATGTTATCTATAAGATTGCAAAACTCATGGAGCAGGAAATAGAAAGACGTTCTGTTTATTTACCATTTGTACTGGTGGGAGATTCCTCCTTCTTAACTGGAGTAGAAAGACTTGGAGGCGGTGGAGGAGGCATAAGCTTCGAGTCGATGTCCTCACAGTCAGCATCATAATCATCCTCATCGTCTAGAATGGAGTTTTCACGCATGGTTACACAAAAAAAAAAAAATACAGGTTGAAAAGAAAAAAAAAAACTCAGAGGAGAGGAGCAACATAAATACATTATTTGTTATTGTTATTATTATTATTGTCAAAAATTTAGAGCTGAAAATGGAAACATATACCATGGGAGGATGTTTACTGAATAAGGATCTATTCTTTCCTTTGTTCTGAATTTGACAAACAACAGATCTAAATGTGTTGTTTTTTTAATATACATTTAGACTTAATGTAATAAAATTAGGTTAGTTTGATCACAAATTCTAATCTGTTGTATTTCATGAGGCAAAAACAGAAAAATAGGCTGTGACTTGAGGAAATAATATACAATTATTTAACAATGCAATAGGTAGTTCATATATCTACATAGAAATGTTTTTCTATCAAGAGGAAATAGGTGAGAGGTAATGGATAAGTACAAGTGTACAACATGGTTAGTTTAGAGGGTGAAAGTGGAGCTAGGACGGAGCTCATCACCTGTTTTCCTGCTGGGCTGCAAAGACCCCATCGCCTGACGGTACTTTTTAGTCTCATCCTCAGCAACCTCACTGATGTCAGAGTAGTCCACTGCATCATCGGTGCTTTTCACCCAACCTGATGGAGTAAATAAAAAAGAATGACATAAACATCACACCTGGGTGGTGACTGGAATCCTGCCAGCAGTATCATCGCTCAGCGTCACCTTCTGAATCCACGCTGACAGGTTCTCTGTTTTCCTCCTTTTCCTCATTGTCGGTGGCAGTAAGCTCGGTGATGAGGGACCCCAGACCCAAGTTCCCCAAACCAGCGAGATGCTTCTTGGACTCCTGAAGCAAGAAAACGAGCAAAACAGAGTCAGGTAGACTAAATACTCACACACAATATGCCCCATATAAATTAAATATAATAACAATGTAAGATACTTCACCGCGATCCAAAATAAATAAATAAAGGAACTGCCATAAATTGTCTTAAACATGCTCACATTGTCCAGAACACTGTCCCCTTCTAACTGCCCATCTTCATTGATGTTTCCAAACAGGAAGCCAGTGATGGAAAAGGGACGATCCTGGTCTTCATCGCTGTCTGAATCAGACATCCTAAAAAAACATAATAAGCATCTTATACATCCTCAAAACCTGTAGCTACACAGGGAATATTGCGTTGCGTCAAACCATGCAGCCAAAGGCGATGCAATCCGCCTTGTTGTTTAGGTTGTAAACTTGTAAAGTATTAAATTGGAGAAAGCTTTTAGACTTACCTTCTCTGACTTTTCTTTAGATTGTTTAAGTCCCGGTTAAAGCCAGATCTGTATATTCAATGCATGCCAACACCGGGAGCTAAGCGAAAACAGTTAGCTAATGCTACTTTAAACCAAAAACCTGCAACTCGTGAGATCAAAGGGCCGCGTTAATATGCATGTTTTACAACGTGGCTACGTTAAACCTGCCAGATAAAAAACAATAGTCTTATTGAGATTCACCAAAAACATCAAAAACGCTTATTAAATGCGAAATGTTTTTTTTTTTTTTTTTTTTACCCAGCGAAGCGCCCTACGACCGGAAACGTCAACGTGACCCGGAAGAACATCTGCGTGGTGCGTTTAAGGGTAGCTCTGTAAACTAGCTAAGTACAAGTTCTATTAAAACACAAAAAGTAAAATGTATTTCTAACATTGAATATAAATGAGCAAAATTTGGTATTACTTGTGAAGACAAAAAGGTGGAATTTTTATGTAATTTCATTTTCATTATTATTCTATTATTCTTAATTCACAAATGCAGATTTTTTTAAAGTTTCACCAAATCTCCAAACATTTTTAAATGATTTTTTTTTTTGGAGTTTTCATGAATCAATTAAGTTATTGGAAAATAATAAAGTTTTCCGATTTGATAGCAATTAGGTAAACCCCTGTGTTACTTGTTTTATTATCTTCTTATTATTTTTCCTTTTGATTCTTTTATTTGAGTAAGTTTATATTGTTTTTGTATCTTATAAAAACTGTTATGGATGGCATGTTTAATTGTAATTTTACCGTTTTGGAATAATATTTTGAATTTGTTTAATGAACAGAAAAGAAAAAAAAGAAAAATAATACGCAAAGACAAAAACAAAAATACGCTGATTGTGGTCCAGATTATTTATTTATTTATTGCNAAAACAAAAATACGCTGATTGTGGTCCAGATTATATACTTATTTGTTTTTGTTCTTTTTATATTCTTTTTTTTATCAGTTATTTTAATGAGTTGTGATCATCAATTACAAAAGACTGAAATCTAGATTTTCAATATGTTCTACACAAGAAAAATAATACAATAGGTTGATGAAAAAAGAAAAAGAATTTTAATATTTTTGTTATTACTTACTTGACAGTTGCCCAGCATATCACTGTGTCCCAGCATCATAAATTGATTGGAAGAAAAGGCGTTAGCAGTTTAAAACTAGTACTCGAGTAGAGGGAGGATGGATGATGGCTTCCCTCTTCTTAATAAAAATCTTAAAAATCATCCCCCTTTTTTAAATGACAAACCCCCATACCATACCCAACATTTTATTACTGAATGTGTAAAATTTCTACTCTATATTAACACTACCTTTCAATATTTGGCGGGCTGTGGGTACGGAAGAGGATTAGGGCCACTGAAAAAAGTTTAAAAAGTTAACTGATTTTTAAATATTATTTCAGTTTAATATGGGAAAAATTTCAAAATTCTGACTTTAATTTCAGAATTCTGATGTTTTTTTCACTGAATTCTGACAGCTAACAAACATGTTAGCATCAAGTGGTATCTATGTCTGTTTTAGAGACTAAACTAGCTCTCTTGTTTTAATGACCTGCTCCTTCATCAATGAAATAGCATCACCAGGGACCCCTCAGGCACGTAAAAAGTTGCTTGATTTTGTCATTTTTCACCTATGTGTTACTGGCCCTCCAAAACAACTCACATCTTTGTCAGTGAAGCTGAGTGTTCCCACATCTGCAGCCTTTCCTAATAGACGCATATATTTCAACATCCATGTTACTAGATTAAAGGTATAGTGGAAACAATTCTGTCAGGTTTGAGTTCTTGGGCGAACATCTTTTTCATTGTCATTACTTACCTTCTTATATCAATAATAATTATGCAAAAAATTTATATTTACAAGTACCAATATCTACATAAATTGAATATTTAATAAATTTTTACTAAAATAGTTATTTATCTATTATTTTACTGAAGACTCCTAGATGACTTGCAGACAAATAATTTTCTCTTTACCCTATATAACACAAAATCTAGTTGTGAAAAGATCAGGAATTCTGTACTTATCGTCTTTAATATTAGTACATTGATGTGCATAATTAACAACAGTGTTTTTGTTATTAAGTAATTGTTAATGTATGAAAAATTATGTTTTGCATATTCAACTTGAGAGTATTACTGCTGCCAAGATCTGTGTTAGAAGAGAAAAAAAATCGTAGGGGTGGCCACTGATTGGCTCAGAAGGGCCACCCCTGGCCCCCCATCTAGCTCCGCCCCTGGTGTAATCATGCCTAAAATGTAACACCCAGATAAATACAGCAATTTACTGTAGCTTTACTCAGATTAAATCACTTAAACAAGAAACTTTAATGTATAGAAAAATAGTAAGTTATGTGTTTATCTTAGAAAAAATAAAATAACAGCTATATTCTTCTTGCAAGAAACTATTTTTTTTTTTTTTTTTTGTATTTTATATACTTTAATAATCCCAGAGGGAAATTACTTCTCTGCATTTAACCCATCCCCTTGGGAAGCAGGGAATATGTTGAAAACATATGAGCAAACAGTGCACAAAAACAACCGTTTTGGCAGAGAAGGCACCAAAATCTTTATTATGTATATGCGTCCAAAAAATGTTTGCTGACACCACAAGTTTATGGGCCTTTACTGAGAAGCAAGATTTGTTTGAAAATAAAAAAAACGATCATTACCTTAAGTTCATGAGCCACATTCGTATTATGTTTTAAATGAAAGTTCAATAAATACGTTAAAAACCCAAAATACTTATAAACAACGACTAGTTTGTTTCCATTGGGCAATTTTTTATTAGCATATTTTGATAAAGTTCATTATTTTCCATAATGTAATGATACAATTTCAACATTGATATATTTTAGATTCATTGCACAGTAACTGAAATATTTCAGGTCTTTTATTGTCGTAATACAGATGATTTTGGCATACAGCTCATGAAAATCCATAATTCCTATCTCACAAAATTAGCATATCAAGAAAAAGGTCTCTAAACAAGCTATGCACCTAATCATCTGAATCAACAAATTAACTCTAAATTTACTCTAAACCTGCAAAAGACTCCTGAGGCCTTTAAAACTCCCAGCCTGGTTCGTCACTCAAAACCCCAATCATGGGTAAGACTGCCGACCTGACTGCTGTCCAGAAGGCCATCATTGACACCCTCAAGCAAGAGCGAATGACACAGAAAGATATTTCTGAACCAATAGGCTGTTTCCAGAGTGCTGTATGAAGGCACCTCAGTGGGACGTCTGTGGGAAGGAAAAAGTGTGTCAGAAAACGCTGCACAACGAGAAGAGGTGACCGGACCCCGAGGAAGATTGTGGAGAAGGGCAGATTCCAGACCTTGGGGGACCTGCGGAAGCAGTGGACCGAGTCTGGAGGCGTGTGCAGGAAATGGGCTACAGGTGCTGCATTCCCCAGGTCAAGCCACTTTTGAACCAGAAACAGCGGCAGAGGTGCCTGACCTGGGCTACAGAGAAGCAGCACTGGACTGTTGCTCAGTTTTTCATGTCATTTGGAAATCAAGGTGCCAGAGTCTAGAAGAAGACTGGGGAGAAGGAAATGCCAAAATGCCAGAAGTCCAGTGTCAGGTTCCCACAGTCAGTGATGGTCTGGGGTGCCATGTCAGCTGCTGGTGTTGGTCCACTGTGTTTTATCAAGGGCAGGGTCAGTGCAGCTAGCTATCAGGAGATTTTGGAGCACCTAATGCTTCCATCTGCTGAAAAGCTTTATGAAGATGAAGATTTCATTTTTGAAAAAAAAAAAAATGAAATTCCCGACATGCAAAAGGATTCCCCACCAAGTATTGAGTGCATAACTGTACATAAACATTTGAAGGTTGTTTTTTTTTTTGTATTAAGAACACTTTTCTTTTATTGGTCGGATGAAATCTGCTAATTTTGTGAGATAGGAATTTGGGGTTTTCATGAGCTGTATTGCCAAAATAATCCGTATTAAGACAATACAAGACCTGAAATATTTCAGTTAGTGTGCAATGAATTTAAAATATATGAATGTTCAAGTTTTATCATTGCATTATGGAAAATAATTAACTTTATCACAATATGCTAATATTTTGAGAAGGACCTGTACACCTTAAAGACAAAATACATTATTTTGAGGACCAGAATGTTCAGATTTTGGACAAAGAAGACAGATGGTGTGATGGGAGCCATTTATCTTAAGAAAGAAAAACCAACCTTAAACAGAGGGGGTGGAAAGATTTAATCTTTCAAAAACCTACAACGCAGCGATAAAGTTGATTCCTTCACGCTATTGTCGCGGCCCCCACCCCCACGCAGAGCACCTCGCTTTTTTAGCCAAGCCAACAAATCCCTTTAACAACCCCCTTTCAGAGACATAGACAGGTATTGGGTATCACAGGCTAACAAAGAAACCAAAATACCCCTATTCCAAAGGGGCGGACCCATTTGTCTGGTTCAATTTGAATGTTTTCTAAGACAAAACAAGGCTGTTTTTGGTCCACTCTATAAAGCCTTGAACTTAATGATATTTCTGACATTTTTAATTGAAAAAGCTTCCTGGATGGGAAGTGAAACGTCTTCAAACTTGGAAACAAAGTCCAGTGGATTGTTTTTTTTTTTAACTTTTATAAAATAAAGGTAAATAAGCTAAATGATAAACTGATTAACTAAAGGTCAATAAAACAGGCACACAAACAGTTGAGCCAGTTTTTAATAGTTTTAAACACTTGAGTTTGAAAAAAAGTACAAAAGTGATCCTGAACGCCACAGTATGAAATCAACCCTGTAATGTAGGGTGACTGGTGTGTTCCTTTAAAAAGCATTTTCTACAGACAACTGGCCATACTATACACATAATGTACTCACTAAAACAGAGGCGATGGTTTAAATACAACGGCTGAGCCTGGAAATACATTTAAGTTTCCTTAAAAAAAAAAAAGAAAAGAAAATCTAGTAAAAGGAGGAGAAAGGAGTCTCACCATGACGTCATTCTGGTGTCTGGCAGTAAAATCATGCAGTGTTAGAACCGTTCCAATATGGAGAAGCAACAAAGCTCCCCAGCCTCCCCCCAGCGGGGGGGCGCCATCCGTTTCTGCTGTCCGACTTCAACCAGCCGCTATTTGCATACTTTGTGACGTTTCACATAGAACTCGCCTCACATAATTGCATCCTCTTAGAAAAATATAACTGATAATCGGCATTAAAGAAACCCCCTGAAATATGGGCTTACATCCCAGAATGCTGTGAGGAAATAATAACAACAACAATTAAAGGAAAAGAAACACAGCTGAATAAATAAATGCATG